TGAAAGGTATGTGAAATTTGGATACTATCTTTGTAGAGAAAGGAACGATTGTTTATTGATTACGTACTTTATGTCAGGTGCTGAGTTATGTTTTCAATTCTTATAATGGACTTGTAAGAATGCTTCAATTATTTTTATCTTTTTTATATTGCTTTAATATTTGCAGATGATGGAAACTCAGCTCAGAAAGGCTAAATGCCCTTCTTAGTCTGTTTGTGTTTCTATAACAGAATCCCTGAAGCTGGGTAACTGATAAAGAACGGAAATTTATTTTCCCACAGTTCTGGAGGCTGGGAAGTCCCAGATCAAGGCTTTGGCATCTGGCAGGGGCCTTCTTTCTGCCTCCTCACATAGCAGAAGGTGAGAGGGCAAACTAGCAGGACACTGTGAAGCCTCTTTCGTGAGGCCCTTAGTCTCATTTACAAGGGAGGAGGCTTCCTGGCCTAATCATGTCTTCAAGGCCCCACCTCTTAATACTGTCACATTGACAACATCTGAATTTTGGAGGGGACATGTTCAAACCATCACATTGAGTAACTTAACCAAGGTTACACAGCTAGTAAACGCTAGGGCCAAAAGTAACATTAGTAATGAGGGCACCCTGAAGCTTCTGTTCGTGTTGCTGTGATTTGGCCATGTCTCCACCCACAGCTCATCTTGAATGGTAGCTCTCTCAATTCTTACATGTCATGGGAGGGACCCAGTGAGACGTAGAATCATGACAGTGGGTCTTTCCCATGCTGTTCCCACAATGGTGACTAAGTCTCATGAGAGCTGACGGTTTTATAGAGGGGGATTTCCCTGCACAAGCTCTCTCTTGCCTGCCAGCGTGTAGGATGTCCCTTGCTCTTCTGCCATGATTGTGAGGCTTCCCCAGCCTCACAATTCACAGTGGAACAATTCACAGTGAATCAATTGAACCTGTTTCCTTTATAAATTACGGAGTTTCAGGTGTGTCTTTATTAGCAGCATGAGAACAGACTAATACAGTTGTCCATGACAATAGAGAGCCCCTGGAATAAAAAAAAACAGATGATGCTGATCAGCACGATGATAGTTACCGCAGGCAAGAGATATTGTACCTATTAGGTGCCAGGCATTAAGCCATCTACTTTATATGTAGTATCTCATTTAGTTTTCTCAACAGTCTCACAAAGGAGAGGTGACTGTTGGTTTAATTTCTCAGCTCAAGACTGAGTGATAGAACTGTAAAGTACCATGCTCAAAGTCGCATAGCTAGAAAGTGGTGGAGCTTCTTGCCATAGGCAAGGATTTCAGAAAGACAGTCACAGAAAGCTGAAGGATCTGCCCACAGATCAGACCAGCAAGGCAGTGAAGGGTACATGAAGTTAGACGTCTATACTCATCCGTATGCCTCATTTCTGGAGCTCTGGCTGTTAAAGCATCCAGTACATTACTTTGCTGCAGGATCCCACGTTTCCTCTACGTAAGGTCATCACTACTCCCAAAAAGAATGGTACGGTTCCCAGATAAGGGAAGTAAAGAGCAGTGAGAACGACTTCCTTTGGTTTTGCCAAATAGGAGCAGTGGGCTGCTTGCAGGTATCATTATCCAGGATGTCAATCATTTCTCCCTCCAGCCTGTCATAGGGCCCCACATTGCCCAGGAGAAGTTCAATTTTTTGAGTCTTGAAGGTTTCTAGGCTTTCCTGTTTAGACCACAAATATCTTTATAAAGATGGTCGGGCTCTCCAGTGCCTTCAGGAGCTAGGCAGGTAATTCACTTCTGAAGGAGCTGGGGTTAGACAAAAAGATGAGTTTATTACTACGTCTGCCGGTGGGTTGCTCGTCCTGCCCATTCGCCTTGACAACACTGTGGGGCTAATGGTCTGTGGGTTGCTAGTTTGTAACAGTAAAAGGCTACATATTTATTTTTCCTCCCGATTGTCAAAGTTTGTTGTAGAATGCGTAAGGGATAAAACTACAGAAAAGTCGAAATAAGCAAATAGAATGATCAGTTGCTTCCCAGTCTCATTAAGTATTCTTGTTACCTTGGCGTATCCCCTTCCAGCTTTTAGCGTAAAAATCTGCGTCAGTGGGATCTGCACTAGAGAGAAACACGTGAACCTCAGTTAAGAAATATTTAGGGTGAAAATAAAGCTGTCACTAGATCCCATTTCACAGTGAGAATTAGCTACAAGTCAGGCCCCTGGGAGGATAGAACCTAGAGAAAGCAGTAGAAATAGTGGAATACGTATAGAAGGGTGAATGGGAGGGAGGACAAACATAAATCTCCTGTTGTTCATGGATTTGCCAAAGGAAAACTGGCCAAAAAAGATCTTTAGCACGAGGCTGGCAGTGAGGGCCTGATCAGCCAGTGGGAGCCAGGAAGCAGGGGCACAACCTTTAGGGCTGGGTAGAGGAGGGGGTGACGTGTTAATGATCCTCAGAACTCTCTGTCCATTCCATTCCTATCCTTCAACCAGTTTAAAAGACACTTATCTAGGTGGGGCCTCGTGGTTCACACCTGTAATTCCAGCACTTTGGGAGGCCGAGGCAAGTAGATCACTTGAGGTCAGGAGTTTGAGTCCAGCCTGGCCAACCTGGTGAAACCCGTCTCCGCTAAAAATGCAAAACAATTAGCCTGGTGTGGTAACGGGTGCCTGTAGTCCCAGCTACTTGGGAGGCTAAGGCAGGAGAATCGCTTGAACCCGGGAGGCAGAGGTTGCAGTGAGCTGAGATCATGCCACTGCACTCCAGCCTGGGCAATAGAGCAAGACTCCATCTTTAAATAAATAAATGAAATAAAAGACACTAGTCTACTTAGACACTTTAAAAAAATAAGCAACAGGAATTTTATTTTTTTTCCTCAAGGAAAATTTTAGGAGAAAGCCGTTTATGTAAACACACTATAGCAGAGCTGGTCTGTTCCAAACAGGGGGACTTGAAAAAACCTTCTCTCACCTCTCAACCCTGAGCCCACCCAGAGCAGTATTCAAAAACCCACATCACCTCCGCTCTGTTTGCCCTGGCCCGGAAAAGCAGCGCTTTCCTCTCGGATCTCCTAGAACTCTTCGAAGGTGCCCATCCCAGGACCCTCATTTCATTCTTTGCTCTTCTCCACATTTGCTCTTTCTCAGTTTGATGAATCTCCTCCTGTCGCATTTCAGATACGTATTGACTTTTTGCACGACTTCCCAAGCCATTCTCAGAGAAAGATTGACAGGTGTAGGGTGGCCGGGGAGGGAGGTTTAGCTGTTTTAAATGTTAGTAAACATGACAGTTTGTTGGGGATTAACAGGAAATCGTGAATAAGATCATTGGGATTTGACAAGGGATTTTTCTCCTAGACAATTAAAGATTTATTTTTTCATTATCTTTCTCCCCCCAGAAAAAAAGTCATGGATGAAGGTCACTGGGATAACCCATTATCATCTAATACTCTTAAAATAGATAAAAGACAAAAGTCTGTAAGCTTATGCAGACCACAGGGCCCCTGTGAACTGTTGTTCCAGCATCTTTTTAGCAGGTGATACTGTCCTTTAATGCCTCCTACTTAATTCTCAATTTTCTTTTAAACATCAGATATTGAATAGGCTGCAGACTCCTTTAGGCAATAAAGAACTCTCATGCTCTGTGGCCAAGATCTGCCAAGGAGTGAAATATTTTTGATACAAAAGAATAATTCATTAAAGGAGGTAATAAAGGCAATTCAAACCCTCCGCAAACATCGCTGGGCGAATAAAGCTCATCACTCTCGGTTCTGGCCATGTTGTAAAGAGAGAGAGAGAAAAATAAAACCAGCTTCACAAATGGGCCAAAAATCTCAGTGGGGTTTAGTTGAGCCTGACAATTTAGAATTTGACAAACAAGCGGAAAAAAAAAGAGAGTTTTATTAATATTAGGAGAAAACCCCTCTGGAATAAAGCATTAAATGTCCATGTTCTTTTTTGCACTCATATGCACTTACATGATCTTAGGGAGAAATCTGACTTTGAGGTGAAATTTTGCCTGATTATGCCTCTGGGGCTCTCCCTCATACACACTCAGCCAGAAGCACGGACTGTCCCATAAGCCAGTGTGAATGGTTGAGATGATGGGGAGATGTGGTGGTGAGGGAACAGCGCTGCGAGGTTTGGGCATTCCGGCTGAGGGTCAGCCGGTTAGAGCCCTGCAGTGTGCCCAGTCCCTAGGAGCTGAGAGGACCAGGCATCTGCTGGGTACATCTCAACTGGTACATGTTTGTCCACCAACCCTGTAGCCCAAGGAGTTTAACCTGAAAAGTAGCGTACAGTAACTGTTGAGAGAGGTATCTTGGACTACTCTTCTCCCTCTATTTTAGGTCTGTAAAATAGGGTTTTATGGGAGATCCCAGCCAAGAATATTGAACTAAGAAGTCAAGGAGTTGAAAAGGCACTCTATTAAAACTCTGTGTCAGATGAGAGAAAGCCCCATACCGCACCTCTGCTGGGTGGACTTTCAGACTGCGCCTGAACATCTTTAGCGCCCATGGCTCACTGCTACGTACGGTCCATCTTCTCGATGAACGGCCTTAACTATGAAAAATTCTTTTCCTGAATTCAGCCTAGTGTTTTTTTTTTTTTTTTTTTTTTTTTTTGAGACCGAGTTTCGCTCTTGTTACCCAGGCTGGAGTGCAATGGTGCGATCTCGGCTCTCCACAACCTCCGCCTCCTGGGTTCAGGCAATTCTCCTGCCTCAGCCTCCTGAGTAGCTGGGATTACAGGCACACGCCACCATGCCCAGCTAATTTTTTGTATTTTTAGTAGAGACGGGGTTTCACCATGTTGACCAGGATGGTCTCGATCTCTCGACCTCGTGATCCACCCGCCTTGGCCTCCCAAAGTGCTGGGATTACAGGCGTGAGCCACCGCGCCCGGCCATCTGCCAGTTTTCTATACTAAAAAGTTATTATTCCCTTTATAATTAATAAATATCTTGTGGGAAATACACCGGAACATTCTCAAAGAGGTGTGGCCGTGGAGGGCCCGTGATTGACACTGCCTTTCCCTTCGTTTTCAGAGTCGAACAGCCGCAGGGCGGTGAACCGTGGCTATGTCACCAGCTTGCTCAGGCTGCACCAAGACTGGCACAGCCACGACACAGCCAACGCCTACGTGCACGTCCGACGGGGCTTGCTGCTCTGCCTCAGGCACATTGCTGCCCTCCAGTCCGGCAGGGAGGCCTTCCTGGCAGCACAGGGCATGGAGATCCTCTTCAGCACCACACAGGCAAGCAGCGTGGGGATTGACTCTGCAGCTGAATGACATCTGGATGAATCCTGAAGGCTGTCATTTAAGAATCATCCCAGACAAGGCTGGGAACACCTCAGTCTATTTCTTGCTGCCTACTATGGGCAGATGTTCTGGATTTAAATCTTCATTCCAGGTCAGGTGCGGTGGCTCACCCCTGCAATCCCAGCACTTTGGGAGGCTGAGGTGGGTGATCACCTGAGACCAGCCTGGCCAACATGGTGAAACCCCGTCTCTACTAAAAATACAAAAATTAGCCAGGCCTGGTGGCACATGCCTGTAATCCCAGCTACTCAGGAGGCTGAGGCAGGAGAGTTGCCTGAACCCAGGAGGCAGAGGTTGTGGTGAGCCGAGATCGCTCCATTGTACTCCAGCCTGGGTAACAAGAGCGAAACTCCGTCTCAAAAAAACAAAAACAAAAACAAAAACAAAAACAAAAACCAAAGCATAAATAACAAAACCTAGGTTGTTGTGTGGACTAAATAAGTTACTGTAGAAATGGGATGTGCTTGTCATGACTGAACTGCTGCTGAGGGTGAGCCTTTACTGGAATAATTAGCAGTGGGAGCTAGTGATGGATGTGACAGACGAGGCCCTTGAGCCTATGGGGAAAACCTCCCAGCACAACAGTCAGACACTAAGTAAGCAAAGAATCCAATGAGGAAGATAATGTCATGTTGCTCTGTGAAATCAACGAAGTAAGGCAGTGACTGCCCTGGGTAGAGGGTGCAGGTATTCTTCTGGAGAGCTCAAGTCATCTTTGAGAATGTGACACCTGAGCTGAGAGCAGTTATTGGAGGAGCTGGTCAGGCTAAGTTGCAGGGTTTGAGCATCCCGGTGAAAGGGGATGGTGCCTTCAAGGGCTTCTACTTACCAGCACCCCACGGGAATATGTATTCTAGGGATTCGCGGATTTCAACCTAAATAAATTCCTTAATTTCACTTGATTAGGGCTAATTTAAATACCATAGTCTGAGGCTACACATGCCTTCTCTATTGCTGATGTAAGTTTTCCAGATATCCATCATCCGCTCACCCGCCTTCTGGGGCCAAGGCAGCCATGCTACACACGCATTACATTCCTCTTGTCTCTGGATTGGGCCACCTCTGGACTCCCTCTGTCAGTCTCCATGCTCCTCTCTGGACACCCTGCAGTTTTTCTCTACCTGAGTACATGTGAGGTAATGAAGCTGCCAATGAGAGTGGTGTTTTCCAACCAGGGTATCTGTAGACACTTGTCATTCAAAAATGGCCCCTTTCCCGCCTAAACCGTAACAAAATACTGTGCTGCAAACCAAGATCTAATTTCCTGTCTGCTAACACCTCTGGGTTTCTTTGCATCGTTAGAGCTTTCAAAGCTTTTCAGTCATTCAGTAGCTGTATTTTACATTCTCTTTCTCAGGATGGAGCAGGGCTTTGAGTTTTTCCAAGCTTCCCCATGCTTTGTAAGCCTGTGGTTCCCCAAATCTCGAATCCCTCCCAGTCCTTGTGCGATGCCCTCCTGCACTGCTGATGTTTAACAGACCCCGACTCTGGTCCCGTGCTTTATCAAATTCCTCTGCCCTCCAAGCTATTGGCTGTTTCTCTGTTCTGTGCTAAAAAAAACCAACCAAACAGAACACAAGCAAACACACACAAACAAGAAAAACAAGAGCAATAAAGGAAGAAGATGGTCATCACAGAGGTACATGTCTGCCATGGAAAGATGGGGGAGAAAACACCAAATGAAGCCAGCATGAGGGGTCTGAGCCTGTGTGCAGGTCTTTAAAACAGCACCTTAGCAGTCAATGAAGACTTCAGTTGCTCAATTAAGCACATTAACAAGACACTTCCAGCCTTTAATTACTGCTGGGAATGGAAGCAGAATGTGAGTAGACACAGAATCTGTACTTTGTAGTGAGGCTTCTCTAGCTCATATTATAGTCTCTCTTGGTATTACATGGAAAAGTAGCTCAGGAGGGGCCTATGGAACGGTGCTGAGTAAATAGGACATGGCACATTAAGGCTGTCGCCTGGAAGAGTGTGTAGAATGTATGGATGTCAACCTCAAGGTTGACGTCACCAAGGATCTAGCAATCTGTAAGCATTCCTCACCATTACCACTCCCTTTGCTTTTAGTCTTTTTGAAATAGTGTGCTCTTGGCTGGGCATGGTGGCTCATGCCCGTAATCCTAGCACTTTGGGAGGCCGAGGCGGGCAGATTACCTGAGGTCAGGAGTTTGAGACCAGCCTGGCCAACATGGCGAAACGCTGTCTCTGCTAAAAATATAAAAATTAGCCAGGCGTGGTGGCAGGTGCCTGTAATTCCAGCAACTTGGTAGACTGAGACAGAAGAATTGCTTGAACTCAGGAGGCGGAGGTTGCAGTGAGCTGAAATTGTACCATTACATTAGCCTGGGTGACAGAGTGAGACTCTGTCTCTAAAAAAAAAAAAGTGTGCACTTTCAGAGAAAATGTTCTCAAGTTTATGTGCAAAGTCTGATGTTTGACATTCTCCTGTTTTTTTTGGAACATGATCCTTGCGGGTGAACGACAGGTTGTCCTGACTTAGAAACCAAATGGCTCATTATTCTTCCCTGGCAGCCATAAGCAGTGTTGAGTAGCCTCCCAGACCTGAGCTGAATGCTGTGAGCACAGATGCCCTTACAGGTGTGCTGGAGTTTGAGCTGCCCATCACCCCTCCTCTCCCTTCTGCTAGAGAAGGCAGGGGAGTCGCTGCATGGCCAACTCCTGGGCCTTGGATTTGGTGATGTTATTTCAGTTGCCATTTGCAAATTCTGCTGCTGTTGCTACTGCTGCTGCTACTGCTGATGCCAGTGATGATGATGACAATGTTAATGAAGCAGCAGCAGCAGGAGAGGGAGGAGCAAGAGAAGAGAAGAAGACAGGTCCTTTGAACTCTTACTATTAATATATCCCTTCGCTGTCTTAGCAATTTATGCAGACTTTCCAGTATTGACATTTTAAAAAGTTTTTGAGATAGGCTCTATTATTTTCTTTATTTTTACAGATGAAGAAACTGAGGCACATAACTGTTGAGTAATTCTCCCAAGTCCACAAAGCTCACAAATGCTGGAGCCAGGATTTGTGAGAGCCTATGCTTTTGCCCACCGTACCAACAGCTCCCCAAGTTGAGCATGCATCAGAGTTCCCTGGACGGCTCACTGAAGCAGAGCCTGTTGGACCACATTCTCAGTTTCTGGTTCAGCAGGGCTTTGGTGGGGCCTGAGAATGTGCTTTCCTGACAACTTCCTAAGTGATGCTGATGCTACTGGTACAGGATCACACTTGGAAAAACACCGTCCTAATTTATTTACTTAGAGATGGAGTTTCTCTATTCTTAACCAGGCTGGAGGGCAGTGACGTGATTTCAGCTCACTGCAACCTCTGTCTCCTGAGTTCAAGCAATTCTCCTGTCTCAGCCTCCTGAGTAGCTGGGATTACAGGTGCCTACACTATGCCCAGCTACGTTTTTGTATTTTTAGTAGAGATGGGTTTTCACCATGTTGGTCAGGCTGGTCTTGAACTCCTGACCTCAGGTGATTTGCCTGCCTTGGCCTCCCAAAGTGCTGGGATGACAAGCATGAGCCACTGCACCCGGCCCCTATATTGTTGTTATTGGTGTTTATGATGTTCTTACAAACCTACTGAGGGTGAGACTGACTGTAAAGGAACTATTTTAGTTCCTCCCACAGCTTTGCCATCATAGTATTGCTATTTGCCTTTCTAGTGAGGCCACTGCTTGCCTTGTCTCTCTCTTGGTGACGCTACCTCTTTGTTGACTATGTCTCACATTTCTTCACAGATTCTGTAAACCTCCCCTAGAAGTTCAAAGGCTGAGATCACACAGTGCAGCAAGGGTGTTGTGTGATGTAATGTAATGTAATCTTACTGGAGCTTTGCATGAGGAAAGACAAAGAAGGATGACAATTTGAGTGCAAGGTTAAAAAAAAATAAGAACTCCTACCAGGATGCCTGAAGCAGTTGGAGATCGTTATCAATTTGGAGAAATAGGTCATTGCAGAAGGCACAAACTGATATAAGATAATCAGAGAAAAGAAGTGCTCTTTGGAGCTGCAATAGCGTGAGGGGCCTGAAAGTTTTTCAAACTTGAGCTTGAGTATGCATCACTTACCTAGAGGAATCATTACAGATTGCTAGATCCTACCCCAGAGTTTCTAATTCCATTGATCTGAGGTGAGGTGCAAGATTCTGCAGTTCTAACAAGTTCTCAGGTGATGGTCTGGATACCTCACTTTGAGAACCACTAGAATAAGATGTGATATGGCCTTTTAAAAGTCACAGTTGCCACCATTTGCTCAGAAAGTGCAGCAGGCCAAGCTTTGATTCATCAGGCTCCTCTCTGGTGGACAAGACCAATGACCTCAGCCTTGTGAACCTATGGAAGGAGGGACTGAATCCTGAAGGGCATGTTACCCCCTTGGGTTGGGAGCTAGATACCCTGAAGGTCAGATTGGTGTGAGGTCATTTGCTACTTATTCAGTAAATGTTTTCTGAGCTCCTCCTTTGTGAAAGGTGTTGGCGCTGGGTTTTATGGGGAGTTCAAAGATGAAGGTGTTAGAGGACTCATCCTCCTCAGGAAACTTAGCATCCTATATGGAAAAATAGGATATGGATAATACGGTATAGGCAGCAGGTGAGAGTAACGGCACACTGGGTGTAAGCATGCAGGGGACGCCTTACTTGATTTTGCTGACCAGAGAAGGCTCCATGAAGGCAGCCACATCTGAAAGAGGCTAGGAGAGCATCTTGAAAACTCTAAGAGAAGCACTTGGTTTGTGAACTGTTCAGGGAAGCAGAAGGAGGTGGCCGTGAGGCATAGACGGAAAGAGAAGCCGGGAACAGTGAGTGGGACAACTAAGAATTTTTGGAGGGTCAGGCGGAAGGAAAGATCTCAGTGATAATCCAGAAGATGTTGAACCGTTTCCATTTAAGATGTTTTTATATTGAAGCTATGCCACATCTGCTCTCAGCCTTAGAATTTCTTACGTATGTTCAAAGAATCACTGGAAAGAGAGGGGAGAGAGGGGTTATGCCAGGCAGGAGTTGAAGAGCTGCTGTGTCACCTGAGACCTGAATGATTAAAAGAACCAGTGCCGCGGGGATCTGGAGATGAGGGTTCCAGGGAGAGAAAAAGAAAGTACGTGCCAAGACCGTCAGGTGGGGGAGTAGGGCGGGAGGGGGGTGAGCTTGAGAAACAGACATGGCAGAGCACTGTGAGTGTGGGGGGGACGGCCTGAGATCGAGTTGGAGTCATGGGCAGTGCCAGGGCATTTGGAGCTCCTGGAATCATGATGAGGAGTTTGAATTTTATTTCCATCAACTTTTTTGTTTGTTTGTTTTGTTTTGAGACAGAATCTTGCTCTGTCACCCAGGCTGGAGTGCAGTAGTGCAGTCTTGGCTCAATGCAGCCACTGTCTCCTGGGTTCAAGCAATTCTGCTGCCTCCCAAGTAGCTGGAGTTATAGGCACATGCCACCATGCCAGGCTAATTTTTGTGTTTTTAGTAGAGACAGGTTTCACCGTGCTGGCTCGGCTGGTCTCTATCTCCTGACCTCATGACCCACCTGCCTGGGCCTCCCAAAGTGCTGGGATTACAGGCATGATGCACCTCCCCTGGCCTCCATCAGTTTGTGAGCAGGCACGAAGAGAGCAGAAGACAAGAATTAAAGAGATAGGACCAGATCACATAGAACTCCCTAGGGCATAAAAATAAACTAGAATTTTATTTCTATCAAGCAGGAGACTGACCTGATACAATTTATGCTTTCGTTTTTTCATTTTTGAAGAATTTTAAGTTAATTGTAGTAAAATACATGCCGCAAAATTCACCATCGTAACCATTTTAAGTGTACAGTTTGGTAGGGTTAAGTACATTGTTGTGCAGTCGTTGGTACTACCCATCCGTCTCCAGAACTCTTTTCATCTGGAAAAATTGAAACTCTACCCGTTAAACTGATTCATGCTTTTAAAGGACCATTCTGGCTGCTGTTTGGAAAAGAGATAATCAGAGGGCACAAGGGGAAGGAAAGAGAGCAAGGGGAGGACTTAGAGTGTTTGTAGGAGGTTAGGCAGGAGATGTTGACGGCTTTGGCTACAGAGAAGCAGAGCTGGAATTTAAACCCAGGACTTCATATTCTTAGTTAAAATCCTTTTCCGCTAAAATGCCTTGCTTTGTTATCATGGCAGTTATTACTAGGATTCTGCTCTGAGTAGCTATGACTCCCAGCACCTGCTTGCAGACTCTCAGGAGACTATGAAACTAAGGACGCCATCTTTCTTCCCGCCAGCTAATACGAAGTGCTTACTGTTAGGCACTTTGCCTACTTCAATGCATTTAATTCGCACACGGCATTGTGAGTGAGGTTGTGTTATCATCTCCACTTTGCAGATGAAGAAGACACCGTGGCACAGAGGAGTGTATTAATTTGCCAGGGTTATGAAGTTAGCAATCTTCAGTCCAGGATTAAAACTCACATAGTCTGGCTCCAGGACCTGAGCAGTTTGCTCTTACTCTGTCTTGCCCATATATCATGCAAGTAGGGTAATTATTATTCCAAAGCGAATTCAAAGATGTTAACTGTGACGGAAGCATTGACTGTTTTAAGCATTCTCATATTTCATCATCCCTTCCAAGTAGTCGACATGTTATTGAGAGTGATGGGAAAAGGGAGCCTAAGATCTCACCTTTGCCTCCAGTTCTGAGACATTGGTTCTTAAGGATCCTGTTTCCTGGAGTCTTGTCTTTTTCTTCCTGGGCACCCCTCCCCTGCCTCAGCTTCGTCTTGGCCCTGCACACACCAATCCATTGAGGGAAATGTTGACAAATGAATTCGAGAATTTCTGTTACCTTGAAACTAACAATCTCTGCCTTCGTTAAGTATTTCCCCTACAGTGCAGCAGACAGCAAATACAGCATGATTCCTAATGCCTTGGGTTTTACAGATTTAATGCTTCCTCCAGCCTCTAAAATCAGTTCACGGTACGGCCCAGTTTTTCAGAACATTTGAACGTGGCCTCTTGCTTTCACTTACTTTTCACTTGTACCATTCCACCAAAGAAAAGGACATGATTACCTTTTATCATCAAAGACCATCACAGACATACCTGCGTTCCAAAATGTTGACATTTTTAACTGAGTTCCCTGGCTTGGGCTGGCTCTATCTCTACCAAGGTTGGAGCTTAGAACATTATCTCTGGCAAGCCATCTCCTTCACCTTCTTGCTTCCTCCTTCCGTCTCTGTTTTATTTTTTTCCCATTATGAAACACTAGAGACCTTTTGACCAGATCAAGGGGTGAAGCAGCTTCAACTGTTCATTAGCCTCCGTAATGAATTAGCCAAAACGAATTCATTTTCCACTGAGAGTATTTCCAGCTGTGTGTTCTGAGGCTGTTAATTCGGGACACCTGGTTGGTATGACTGGCACACATTGAAGGAGAGAGAACATTCTTGATTGCATTAAGACATTTCATTTTGAAAGTTGGCTTACTTAAGGCTGGGCACGGTGGCTCATGCCTGTAATCCCAGCACTCTGGGAGGCAGAGGTGGTTGGACCTCCTGAGGTCGGGAGTTCGAGATCAGTCTGACCAACATGATGAAACCCTGTCTCTGCTAAAAGTACAAAAATTAGCTGGGCGTGGTGGCGCATGCCTGTAATCCCAGCTACTCAGGAGGCTGAGGCAGAAGAATTGCTTGAACCCAGGAGTTGGAGGTTGCAGTGAGCCAAGATCATGCCACTGCATTTCAACCTGGGTGACTGAGCAAGACTCTGTCTTAAAAAGGGAAGAAAAGAAAGTTGGCTTACTTATATTTTGCGGTCATTTGGGTAGCTTAAATTCATGGATAAATTTTTATTATTTTTTCCTTCCGTGTTCTTTCATGTGGAAGTATCTGTAATGCTGAGTCTAGAGATGGCACAGATATTCACGCTGCCCTGTGGTGGGTCCTTAGCATCCACCATCTCCACTTCTGTGGCTTATTGGCCTCAGAGCTTGCTGCACTCTTTAGGAATAGCAAACTGGGGCCCCCACTAGTCACCTTCCTGTACCAAGTCAGTAGACAAAACACATTTACAGAGATACTGAAGAAAACGGTTGTGCTTTTGCCAAAGAGAAACTGAACTATAGTCAACTCTGTCTCTCAATTTAGTGAACTTGTTCTTACATTTTTCACAGTGTCTGAGAAGAAGGGTCTTGTCATGTTCCATCAGTATCAAAATGTTACATCTGCAAACCCAATTTTTCTCTGATTTGGGAAGGTACCAAGAGGGATCAACACTGTGGGCTTTGAGAAGAGGCATGTAATTTAATTTAGGTACTTGGGATTCACTTAGTCTTTTCTTCTGATTTTATGTTTTATCTTTTTTTAAAAAATATTTTTCTCCTCAGAAGACAGCTGAAAGAGAAAAGCAAGACTTCTATCAATTCAGCTGTTCATTCCCTAACATAGGCAATAATTCACAGTGACACATGGGTGGCTGAGAAAAGACACCGACCTCCCCTTCCCCCAGCGATCCTGAGCAATGTCTTGCCTTAGGCGCAGCGTCCTTTGAAAGAATTTGAAGTCTATATTCAGACTGTATTCATTGCCACAATGTCTGAAATGTGCAAGAGACAGAGATGTGCCGATCCCACATTAGACAAAATTCTATGTTAGAATGTTCAGATTTGACACTCTACATTAAGGGTGTTTATGGTCTGTCCATGTAGGCTGTGTGTAATTCATTAGCGGAAATACAGCTAGGAGATTGTTATTAGCTGTGTTACAGCTAGGGGACTGTGCTCAGATGTCGACGTCTGCTATCATCTTCCCTTTGCTCAGGACTGCCTGGATGACGAGAGCATGGAGCCCGTCATCGCCGTGGTGCTTCAGATCCTGAGGCGGTGCCACCCTAAGAGTCTCCTACCCTTGGTCACAGCCAGCAGTGCCTATGCCTTCCCAGTCCCCGGGAGCATCACCTCTGAACCTCCACATGATCTACTTGAAGGTAGAATAAGTGGGTAACTACGACCTTGAAGATGAGTTTTTGCATTTTGACAATGTTTCCCAGGAACGTGGATGAAAACAGAATTAGCTGTTTTTTAGGTCCTCCGTAATTGTCCGTTAAGTTAATTAGAGACATAGATGAAAAAGCAGTTTGCATTTTCATAAATAGGGTGAGAAAATACCAAGCTCACTTATTTTGTTCTTCATTATTAACTGTTTCTGCGTTGCCCGGTAGCTATCAAATGCCTGTATAGTCATCTCAGCTAATTAAAAAAAAAAAAAGTCTATTTAGAATCCCATGATTGAATCTCTGAAGCATACTGACTGATGGTGGAATTAATTTGCCCTAAGGATGAAATATAAATAAAATTCTTGTTATTTACAACTGCAGGCCAGTCATATTGGAATATTTGAAAGTATTATTATTTAATGTCTAGGAAGATCTTCCTGTCAAAAGATCCTAGTAGGAACAGGTTTTCTATAGGTATAATTGTACCACAGTGGTACAAGATGCCTTCTATGCCTTCTGTAACGTGCTTCATCAAAAACTTAGGGGCTCAATCAAGGTAATACTTAAGTTATAACACATTTTGCATGTATGTGATCTCTAACCTTTGGCAATGCTTATTGCATGACGCATAACCTCTTTTCCCCCTTCCAGAGGATTTTGAAGATGATGGTGAGGAGGAGGTGGACAAAGACTCTGATTCTGAAGATGGAAAAGTGGAAGTATGTACACCAGCCCATGCTTCTAATGATGTCCATATTCACATCATGCACAGAAAAATATCACTTCCGGTGTTTGCCCAAGCCCAGTGTAAATTTTAAGAACTGACTTTAGTACTGCCACTCAGTGGTAGCGACGCTCAGTAAATGACAGCTACTGTTATTGATTTTCAAGTTGTCATTTTCATCTTGGTAGGCCTGGTATAATGTCTCATTGTAAAGTCAGAGGCTGTCCTATCCACTATTAAGACGCCGATATTCCATTCAGATGAGCTTTAGGTACACGCGTAACACCTGGAGTTGGTATATTTAATAAGACCATTTAAAGACCCTAGAAAGATTTTCCAGGATCCTTTCTAGTAGATCTCATCTGTCTTCATAAGTCACTCTTCTTATCCTTTCTGCATACGGTTGTTGCTTGTACAGTTCCGCTGACATCAGAGTCTGTGAATTGTTTTCCCGTAACTTGCACAGTGCACAACCTGGCCAACAGAGAAGTGCTACTCTTTGGGCTCCCTCCCAAAAAGACCTATCCTATAGAACAGAGGTTGGTGAACTTCCTATTAAAAAATCCAGTAGTAGCCGGGTGCGGTGGCTCATGCCTGTAATCCCAGCACTTTGGGAGGCCGAGGCAGGCAGATCACGAGGTGAGGAGGTCAAGATCATCCTGGCTAACACAGTGAAACCCCCCTCTACTAAAAATAGAAAAAAATTAGCCAGGCGTGGTGCCATGTGCCTATAGTCCCAGCTACTCAGGAGGCTAAGGCAGGAGAATTGCTGGAACCTGGCAGGTGAGGAGGTTGCAGTGAGCAGAGATCACACCACTACACTCTTGCCTGGGCAACAGAGTGAGACTCCATCTCAAAAAAAAAAAAAAAAAAGTCCAATAGTAATTATTTTAGGCTTTGTAGAACACACAGTCTTTGTCACAACTGTTCAGCTTTGTGGTAGCACAAAACAGTTACAGACAATTTGTAAATAAATGGGCATGGCTGTGTTCCAAGCAATCTTTATGTACAGAAATAAGCAGTGAGACATAGTTTATGGACTGTTTTTCTACAGCAAGGTTTCTAGACCTTGGCACTGTTGGCATTTAGACTGGATACTTCTTGGTTGTGGGAGGTTGCCCTGTGCATCGTAGGATGTTTGGAGGCACTGCTGACCTCTACCCACTGGATATTAGTAGTGCCTACCTCGTTCCCCCCCAGGCATGAGCCAAAAGTATCTCTAAGACTTGCCAGAGTCACCCCTAGTTGAGGACTACTGCTCTAGAATAAGACTTTGTCTATGAATTATAATACTGTTTCCATTTCTATTGGTGGACGTGGACTTTGACAAATTCCTTTAAGTTGCAGTTTCTTAATTTCATCATCTGTAAAATAAGACTCGGTAAATTAAAGTAAATGCTGCCTTTTATGACATTTCCTGGGGATGAAACTCAAATTTAAAAAATCAATTTTTTCCCCTCCTTTCATTTCTCTCCTTCGTTCCTATCTGTCTAGAAAGAAAGAGGCTTTTGAGTTTTCCATCACGATACCCACTCACCTTGCTGATGGTAGTATTTGCAGACAGGGACTTAGCTACATCTGTAGGTTTAGACTGCTATTGACACTCTGGTGTTCTTTGGGTTTTGTTGATAAATAGAATCATTTCTGAAGTCATCAGTAGCAAATTGGTTCTTTGCTGTGGCTTGGTGGTGCAGGCCTATGGAGTATGTGCAGAATTATTGGAATAACACTGTGCTGCTGCAGTCATTCATCAACGCCACTTCCCCGCCCTTCTTGCTTGCTCTTGGATAACTGAATGTCTGATGCAGAGTGTCACTCACCCCATGTATCTGATGGGAAGGGACCGGGTGCACAACAGTGCCTGATGTCCCACAGCATGGGAGGGAAGGCATTCGGATACTTTCCTGTGCTCTGCAGAGGTTGAAGCGGTGGGGTAGAGAGAAACCTAAACAGGTAAATAAACTCAATTGGGAAAGAAGCACGAGACAAATTGGTAAGAGCTTGAAAACTGTTCATCAAAAGGCTTCAAGCCAAGGCAAGAAGGCGAGAAGTCAGTGTGAGCATGAGTTGTGGAGATGGAGAGGAACATGAGAGTCAGGGCTTGATTTGGAGGCACAGCAAGAGCAAGGACACAGGTGCTTCAGAAAACTGGATTTTCCCCAGGGAACCCAGCAGCATTTACTGCCAGAGGTGTGAACCAGAAGTCAGGCATAATTTATTTCTGCTCACAGAACTGATCCGGGTCTTAAACCTGTGGCCTTCCCATTTGACAATCTTAGGTAATAATTGAGACCAGCCTCTTAAAAAGAATGATTAAGAGGATCTTTTATCTGTAAAGGGTCATGAGAGTGGAAAGTAGGGTGGTGTGCTTTGATTGAAAATTGCCAGGGTCAATGTATTAGATGTGGGCTCTGTTCACATACATGAGCATTAGACTCAGACAAACTCTGAAGAAGAGAATGGTAAACAGAGTGAATTCAAGCTCTTGCTTCCTTCTTCCTTCCTTTCCTTTCTTTTTAATTTTTTAAATTCCTTTCAGGCACTTTCTTGGGTATGATCCATATGCAACATGCTAAATTCTTGGGGATGTTAATATGAAACACAAACAGATAAGATGACATAGTTTTTATCTTCAAAGAGTTCATAGTCTATTGAACTTGGAGTTTGTCCTTATTAAGTGTTAAAAACACCACCTTCAATGGAGTGGTGAACTCAGATCTGAGGCAGTCGAAAGACAATGTCTAAAAGGTCCAACCTATGGAACAAGAGCCAGAAGGAATGACCTGGATTAGGCAGGTACCAGAATTCTAGTTGGTAAAGGACTGCCTGGGATGCTGTGATGACACAGAAGCAAGTCCATCTCCAGATTAGTATAAATGCCTTTTATAAGAAATACAAAAGGAAGTTGCAACCTGGCTGAGACTAAGCTCCAGAACTTTGAAGGTCAGAAATAGTCTCTGTCACAATGATTAAACTTCCCTGTTGCACTGAGAAAACAGCCATGACCAAATGAATGGGTGTGGCTCTGTTCCAATAAAACTTTATTGACAAAAACAACCAGTGGGCCATAGTTCATTAACCCCAGCTCTAAGGTTAAGTGGGTCACCTAGTCACATGTGGAATGAATTAGATTGCAGCTCTTGGGTTGCATGACTCTTTTCTGCTCAGATGCACTGGTTGGAGCACAACCTTACTGGTGGGGACATTCTTCCCAGTGGCCTTTCAGGTTGTGTTTCCATTTGTGCCACCCTGTGCCATGGCTGAGTGTGCAGTGGAGGGAGTGGAGACAAGCAGAAACTGATAGATAAAGCTGGAAAGGACAAGAATAGTAGTCATGGATTTGGTCATGGTGTGTACTATACCTGAAATATTATTAAATGAAACACATGGGAATTACTTTTAATTTAAAGTTTGGGGAAAAATTGTGAAACATAGATGGATTTTTTCCCTCTTGGATCAGGAATACAAACATCTATTTTACACATTTATTGAGTTTAATCTTTCAGGACTCGCAGATTTTTCCTTAACTAATGAAATATACTTGTAAAACATACGGTATGTTTTTTTTTTTCCCTCTATTTCATTAAGGAAACTTGATCTAGGATGTAGAAAGATGAAGAGACTGGGCTGGTTGATTCCTGGTGTCTTTTCTTTGTAAGACCCTACAACCCTTGGTATTCAGAGGAGAGTCACCATCATCATTAAATTGTTTTGAAATCATGATCTATTGAGAATAAAAAATAAAGTGCCTGGGATTGTTCAATCCAATAAGTAAAAGAGTGGTGGTGCCTTGGTAAACTTTTATATATGCAAAGGGACAAAGGTACAGTAGGAGAATACCAGCTCCTCCCAGGTCTTTAAGGATCAATATAATTTCTCTCCTAGTTCTCAAATCTCGCCTCCTGCAATCTTCCTCTTATTTTGTATGCATCAGCCACCTTCTTTCTATAAGCAAATTCCAGCTTTTCCTTCTGCTAGTAATTCACTTCTAGGCCTGCACATACTTGGCTTTTTTTTGTCATGTAGGTTTCAGTTGAAACATTACCTCCTTGTGAGTCCAACTCAGATCTCCTAATCTAAACAGCCTCTCATTCCTCAATCTTAGTCATATCACTCTCTTTTATCATTTCAAGCGCAGTTATCACTGTTGAAAATTAACTTATTCATTTGTTTACTTTCTTCTTTACTGTTTTTCTTTTCTCACTAAAAGGCAAATTCCATGGGAGCATGAACGTTTGTCTGTTCCGTTATGACTGAACCTTCAATACCTAGAAGAGTACCTACTCACAGTAGGTGCTGATGAAATGTTTGTGAAAAGATGGACAAGCCTAAATGACAAAGATAGATAAAGAGCAACAGTGATTACAATGAAGTTGATGATAGTGGCGATGAGATAAAGAATTTATTTCATCATGTGTTTTATTGATTAGTTTATATCATTTTAAACAAATTTTTACTTCTGATGAAGGCTGATAAATACTGACATACATGCTGAGACAAGTTGTTTATCTTCTTTTTATTTTAAAAATATAATCCAGCATAACAAATTCCTCACTGGTTAGGCTAGTGCTATAATTTGGAGGCAAGAAAACCACGTCCTAAGATTCTGAAGAAGCACATACGTGGCTTGTCTTGATGCTTCTCAGGGTGGATTTCCTGATTGTAATCTCTTCTATGAATATTCCTTTGTAGGATGATGACTTGGAAACAGATGTGGACAAACTGAGTTCCAAACCTGGTCTGGACCGGCCTGAAGAGGAGCTGATGCAGTATGAGGCCGTGTGTCCTGAGCTCTCCTGCAGCTCTGAGGTAGGACCCGTGCTGCAGTTCTGATCTTGGATGACGTATGATGGGTTCTTTGCAGATCCTGGGAGGCCAAACCAGGGTGTCCAGATGGGAAGCATTGCTCATCATTAGCTATATGCTTCTGGGCTCTTCCTTAGAGAAAAGCAAAATGCTAAACAAAATTGGGAAACGGTGGCAAAAATGGGAAAAAGTTAGGATGCATGCAAGGGTTCTTCAATCTGACATGCACGCTTAGGATGAATACTCAGTCATGTGCTGCACAGTGACGTTTCCATTGATGATAGACAACATGCACCACAGTGGTCCCGTAAGATTATAAGACCATATTTTCACTACATCTTTTTATGTTTAGACGCACAAATATCATTGTGTTACTATTGCCTACAGGGTTCAGTACATTAACGTGCTGTACAGGCTGGTAGCCTAGGAGCAACAGGCTCCACCATAGAGTCTAAGTATGCAGTAGGGCAGACCATCTAAGTTTGTGTAAGCACACCCTGCCCCCATGCACTGAAAAAGCAAATAAAAATTCATGATGGTTTAATTGTTCTCATGCCAAAGTGGGAAAATTGTCCTAGATGGCTTTTTTGAGGGTGGACATCCTGATTTCAGGCTTTCTTTGTCAGAAACAAATTGAGAACCTTAGACCTGGTGATGGTAATTCTGTGCCTAGTTGCTGCCATGAATATTTTAGACCTGCTTTTTGATCTCCATTATTTTCTTATGGCCCTTAGAAATAAATCATGAATTTGGCTACATCTAAGGGTAGGAGCTAAGTCACATGTACAGAAGGGAGTTAATATATTCTATTTGACTTCAGAAAGCAGGCAGCGATCAGTAAAAACAGTTTTAGGAAAGGAAATTTCAGTGTAGTATAAATATTTTTTTCAAATAAGCAGAATTATCTTCAAGTGAAAGGCACTGTCTTGGGGTGCAGTGAGGATCCCATAAATATGGTTTTTCAACAAGATTATAATTTAGTGGGGATCTTGAAGCAGATATTTAAATACTGTTTACCATTGGACTAGACCCACCAAAAGCCCCTTCCAGACAGAGTGAGTTTTTATGATTCGGTTATTTATTTGACTCTTGAAGATTAGTCTTTCTTAGTCAACCTTGGAAAATGCTTCCAAGTTCACAGGATTTATGCTTAGCTCTGTGCCCAGAGAGTAAGGACAGGGATCAAATTGTGCTCCCTATCTGGAAGGTCACAGTAACATATTCTATGCCATTTTGAACTTGAAGGAACTGGAGTCCAAACCTGGAGATGATTTGAACCCTGAAAAGACTGAGTTTGCCAATCACCACCACATTCCGACTGCTGCCTTCTCAAAGCAGCATCGCTTCAACAAGGACCAAAGTTCTTGTGGGCAAGAAAGACAAGATGCTGTCCGGTCATCCCTTCTGTGCATGGTGAAGACGGGAAGATCCACTGTGCATCTGGGATCCAAAGGAAAGCCCGTAGTGAGCCCGTACCAAAATGTGCAATCCAATCACCTCGGGAGAGATTCTTCTGCAAGTGAAATCCCTGACATTGAGGATTCCCTGAAAGTGGATGCCTGGGACGTAGATACAATTTTCTGCCAAGGGATGGGTGCCTCCTTTTCCAATTCCAGTAGGACTGGAGAAACTGTCCAAGTAATAGATAAGCTTCTGCAGACACACCCGAAGCGTGTCCCTTTCCACGATCCCTATCTTTATATGGCCAAAGCCAGAAGAACCACCTCTGTGGTGGACTTCAAGATGATGGCATTTCCTGACCTCTGGGGACACTGTCCCCCTCCTGCCACCCAGCCCCTGTTGGAACGCAAATGTGGAGTCCAAAGGTGATGGTGCTACTGACTTGGGAGCTCTGTTTTTTCTGTTTTTTTGGTAATTCGATAAGTGGAATGGTGTACAGATAATTCTACTCTCTGTAGAAAAGTGAGCATTAATCAGGAACGTGTTAAAGCCTTTTGGGAAACTTTGGCCAAACACACAGATTTTCCTCCCTGCAAGGACATTTCAGAATCAAGTGTGGGGTTGCGATAGGCATGCATTTTCTGATGAAAAATTCCTTGAATACATCGAATACAACTCCTTATCCTATCTCCCTTGCAAACCACTGTCCCAAAGAAAGACCATCCAGTTTCTCCAAATACTGGGCTCCATCCTCAAAAGTAGGTTTTCAGAAAAACCAAGAGCTGATTATTTGGGATCTTTTTTCTTGTTTACTGCAAATTGGTATGAGATCTCTTGCTAATAGAAAGGAGGTGATATGCCTCCATTCCACAGCCCCAGCTTTGATAGACCCTGGCTTGGTTTGGAGAATAGTTTTGCCGCTTCACAGAGGAGGGGATGGAAAAGACATTCTCCAGGGAAGAAACACTGGGTGATAGATTATTCCCAGAAGGCAGGAAAGGAAGCTTTACCTAGGGCTCAGCATATAGAGAATAAAATGAAAACTGCTAAAGGCAAAGAAAATATTATTTTCCTTGAAAAAAAATGTATGCACGTACCAAGTCAATGGAGCAAAGTAGGCAGACCAGAAATAAATTATTCTCTTGATGGTAGGTCCCCCAGACTGCTCCCACTTGGGGTCCTGGCTGACATCTCCCACCCTACCCCCTGCACTTTGTCTGTCATGCTCATGTTTTTGAGAAACTGACCACAAGGGCCGTTGTAGCACCATCTCACCTCTGCATAGAACATCTTCCCTCTAAGCCCAGACCTCATGCCCGCCTTTTCCCAGCCTTCCCTCATGCCTCTCCTATGGACTGGGTTGGAAATTCAGATGGTAATCTGAAAGACCTCCTAAGCTTTCTTTCCCTCTCTTAGTTAAATATCACAGATTTTGGTGTTTCTTAGACAGAAGAATGACCTCAGCCTATTGGAGTAGGCAGAGCCCAAGGAACATAAATTGCACAAGGGTACGCGGGCTTATCGGAGCCTCCCAAACCTTGAAGATGCCAGCAGCTTAGTCTTAATGTCTTCCTCAAAACTTTCCCAGTGCAGACCACCCTCTTATTCTCACAGCTAGAAAAGTTCCAAAGTCCCCTAACTCAAGTGCCTTTGATACAATTCTTGAAGCCAAGAATTCTCACATTACTATCGATGTAGTGATAACCAAAATCTAACATTGCTAATTCCTACATTCCTACTTAGTGCAGTTTTATTTTTTGATAAAGAAAGAGGAAGAAGGAGGGCAGGGCCATTTGCACTCTCTGAGCTCAAGACTGAGGCATTATTAAACTCTGTGCTTTCATATTTTTCCGATGACTCCCAGAGTTCTTCCCAGCTGATTATAGGATGAGTGAGCTAAGGAGGGAAGGCTGACCCTTAAAATGTTTTCAATTTTCTTTTTCAGGATCAGGATATTTGAGGATATTCGGAGGCTCATCCAGCCAAGTGATGTTATAAATAAAGTTGTCTTCAGTTTAGATGAGCCTTGGTAGGTAGTCTTGTGCACCTGAGGAATGCGGGGCATGGAGAATTCTGTTAATGGCCTGAGAATAGACATGTTTCCTGTTAGTAATCCACTCCTCCTCCTAAACAGCATCATGGAAATTCAGGTTAAAGATCTATAAGAGAGGCTGGGCGTGGTGGCTCATGCCTGTAATCCCAGCACTTTGGGAGGCCGAGGTGGGCAGATCATGAGGTAAGGAGATTGAGACCATCCTGGCCAACGTGTTTGAAATCCCATCTCTACTAAAATACAAAAAAATTAGCTGAATATGTTGGTATGAGCTTGTAGTCCCAGCTACTCGGGAGGCTGAGGCAGGGAAATCTCTTGAACCCGGGTGGCGGAGGATGCCATGAGCTGAGATCATGCCCCTGCACTACATCCTGGGCAACAGAGTAAGACTCTGTCTCAAAAGAAAAAAAGAAAAAAAAAAGATCTAAAAAATGATGAGTTCGTGTCCTTTGTAGGGACGTGGATGAACCTGGAAACCATCATTCTCAGCAAACTGACACAAGAACAGAAAATCAAACACCACATATTCTCACTCATAGGCAGGTGTTGAACAATGAGAACACATGGACACAGGGAGGGGAGCATCACAATGAGAACACATGGACACAGGGAGGGGTCTGTCTTGGGGAAGTAGGAGAGGGACAGCGGTGGGTGGGGAGTTGGGGAGAGAGAGCATGGGGAGAAATGCCAGATACAGGTGATGGGGAGGAAGGCAGCAAATCACACTGCCACGTGTGTACCTATGCAACAATCTTGCATGTTCTTCACATGTACCCCCAAACCAAAAGTGCAATAAAAAGTCTAAGAGAAAGCTTATCTTTAAGAATCATCACCCTGTTTTCAAGAGTAGCTGTAACACATATGTTCACATGTTCTTTATTTCATTATAGGCCTTTGCAAGATAGTACTTCCAATTGCTTAAAGTTCTTCTCCAAATTTGAATCGGGAAATCTTCGCAAAGTCATCCAAGTGCGTGAGTAAGTAAGGAAAACCACAGGGGGTATCTCTTTGCAGTTCATGAAAGCAAGTTGTGACCGTCTCTTCCCCATGCTCCATTCAGTGACTAGTGACCTCACATTGGTAGCTTGAAATCAGCCATGGTGGGAATATTTATATCACAAAAATTGGCAAACAGTACAAATGAAGGTTTTCGTCTCAGAGAGCCACTTGTTAAACATTCACCAGTACACTACTAGGGAACTCATGGGTATCATAGCTGAGTGAGCCATTCAGTAGAGGTGAACTATTATTGATGTGTCTTATGTTTCAAATAATGGGTCCATAGTTGGGTTTGAGAGCACTTTGATGCCAGGGCTGATTCTGTTGACAGGAAAGGGCACATGGGCTTGCTATTCCTGCACTTCGCCATGCCTGTTGCTCTCATTCCTTAGGTGGCAAATCATCAGCTTCCCAGAGAGAGGTGAACCATCCTACCTGCAGGGGAAGATGGCAGTACCGTGCTCTCTAGCAGAACCTACAGATGAGTAGAGACGGATTTCATAGCCAAGGAAAGTCTAGGGCTGTACAAACTAAAAGGAAATAAAACACAAATGAGTTTTAATTCTTTTTCAGTTTCAGAAGAGACTTCTGTTTTCACTATGTTAAAATTCTTTCTATTAAAGCAGTGTGGATATATTTCCCATATACCAAAAGGCAACATATATGATTCAACTTCTGTGGGTGAACTTCTGAAAAAACAATCCAGAACAGATAATGGTGTGGTGGCCATAGACAGACACCAGGGCCACTTCACCACCTTTCAACCAGGAGACTGAGCAAGTTTCCTAACTCGTTCCATGCCTTTATTTCCTCACTCACAAAATGAGAACAATAATTGCACCTACTTCTTAGGGATTTCATGAGAGCCAAATAATATACTTAAAACTCTTGGAGTAGTACCTGGCACATGGTCAGCACTAAAAAACCATGAGTTTGTGTCATTTGTAGGGACATGGATGAACCTGGAAACCATCATTCTCAGTAAACTGACACAAGAGCAGAAAATCAAACACTGCATGTTCTCACTCATAGGCAGGTGATGCATCTTTACCATGGTTGGAGCTCAGAAGTCAGTGTAGCTGGGACCTCCTTTATATCCACCTGAGGATTCGTTTTTGAAGATTTTCCTTTTCGGGGGAGGTGAAGGGTGATCCTTTTTCTTGTACATAAAATATCTGAAGGAAGCCCAACATATAAAACAGACAAGTTTAACAAATCAGGCTAAACACGAGAAAAACAGTCATGTCAAGATTCGTTCTCAGCCTTCTTTGGATTGTCGGCTTAGCTTCCACTTCTTCCTGTAGCTCCTTTGACTCTTCCTTCTCTCCAGATATCATGTTCAAAGGATCCAGGAGAGGAGACCTGATTATGAGTCTCCTGGTGGGACAGTTATCAGATCAGGATGTGCCTAAGCTTCTGGGCCCGCTCAGGTCTTTTTCTCTGTACATTTCCCTTGGACCAGAGTGTAAAATCCTGAATTCATCAGTTATGATCAGGGTAATAGACACAAATGACAGTAAACACACCTAATTATGGGTAAGGAATTTTTGTGATTACTTTTTGGAGAGAGCACTGTGGGAATAGCAGACAAATTGAGGGTCGCAGCCTTTCCAAGATGTTCTTGTGAGTGCCACTCTGTGGGTTATGCTTTACGTATTGGATGGTGGCTCAGTGGTTAGAATGCGGTGCTCCCAGCGACAGTGTGAGGGCTGGACTTCATCAGATAGCTCTACTTTGCTTTCAGCTGTCTTATACCATGCTATAGCCTTTCATCAATCTCACTACACAAAGCCATTTACTAGGGGTCCCACATGGGAGAATATAAATGGATTGGGGCAAAAACATTCTTCTTTTCAGAAGAGCAACTCAAAGAGAATACCAGGAGGTGAAACAACATTTTTAAAAATAAAATATACTGATAATGTTTAAGTCAAAAGTACATTGCTAGTTCTGTTGCTAGAGATCAGAAAAATAATAACCTTTGGAGATACAGCGAAGGGGGGAGAATTCCTGAGGTCCTCTTGGGGTGCTGGAAATTTCCTATATTGGTGTAATAGTCACACAAGTGGTTTCAGATGTAAATAAATTCATTGAGCTGTATATGCAAGATGTGTGTATTTTATAGCATGGGAGTTATATCACAACGAAAATGAAACAACCCCTGCATTACTCGTCTAATTCATGTTTGTTGTTTTGCTGGGGGATTTATATGTACTAGTTATTTGAGTTTTATCAATAGTACCATAAGTTTAGACACTTCCATTTTCCATATGTGGAAATTGAGGCTCAAAAGTAATACTGATCATCAAATAGTAATGTTGTATCCAAACCAGACGAGGTTGAATTTTCTCTGGTATATGGCACACCTGCATTTTTTCTAGCTAGATAAAATCTTCATTACAGTTCAATAAAAATATATGCTAATATTTTCAAATAATAAAAAGAGTGGAATTGGAATGTTATTAACACAAAAGAAGTGTTAAATGCTTAGGTGATAAATATCTCAATTACCCTGATTTGATCATCACGCATCGTATTATTGTGTCAAAATATTACATGTATCCCATAAATAAGTACAACTATTGTGCGTCCATAATAATTTTTTAAAAAAATTTAAAAATATGCACTACTGTGTAATTGACTCTTCTAAAACAAAGAAGCACCCTTACCGCCACGAATTTTCAAAACCTGTACCCAATATTGTGATATCAGGATAAGTATAACTCACCAGCTAGCTGAGATCCTGGGTCTTAGATCTGTATAACCCAAAGCCTGAAACATGTAGATGCTCAGTGTTTCAAGGTTACCTTAAAGCCTTTCTGGATAACCCTCCGGTCTTGCTTCTGATCTGCAGGTTGGAGTATGACCTGTTGGTCAATGCCGACGTGAACAGCTCCCAGCACCAACAGTGGTTCTACTTCCGGGTGAGCGGAATGCAGGCGGCCATCCCTTACCGCTTCAACATCATCAACTGCGAGAAGCCCAACAGCCAGTTTAATTATGGTATGAACTCTTGGGGAGCAGGGGCTTTCCCCAGCATGCCAGGAATGAAATCATTTCTTGACTGTTTGGATTCAAAGAGCCTTGCATGGGTGCAGAGGGTTTGAGTTTGGGTGGATTTTTGGGTTGCCAGGTGTGGCAGGCAGGCAGTTGCCCTCAGCAGCACACTGCTATTTTAGCGGGGAGGCTGGGTGGCCTCACTCTGCGCATGTAATATCCTCTGCTTCCGGATTCCTTTGCTCTACCTTGAATTTTTTGAGGTTGGTGAGTACTATCATTTATTCCTCCTCTCCGTCGCCTAAGTCCCGTAGGAGCAATTATTTTGACCTGCTTGTCACAAGATAGGAGAACAATAAAATCCAGTTGGACAACACTGATTTACATTCTCAGAAAGCTCTTGAAGACGTTTAAATTCTCCTGAATACCCATGGCCATTTTGGAGGAGCTATTCAAGAGAGAGAGGCGACTAGCAGCCTGCATTTATTTTGAATGTTTCGAAGAATGGAAATTCTGCATACAATTGCTGCATCACATGCTAATTTACTGGGTGGCTTTGAATGAGGAACAAGTATTCCTGGGTGTCTAGGTCCAAGCTCAGGACACTGCCTCTACTTTGTAGCGAGTGAACAGATTCTCGTGGGTATGAGAAGAGAAAATAGGAATCTTGACATTTATATTCACTTTGTATGGCGGTTGTAACAAATTGTCACAGACTTGGTGGTTTAAAACAAGACCAATTTGCTCTCTTACAGTTGTGGAGTTCAGAGGTCCAAAGTCACTTTCTCTGGGCTCAAGTCAAGGTGTTGGCAGAGCCGTGTTTCCTCTGGAGATTCCGAGGGAAACTCCATTTCCTTTCCTTTTCCAGCTTCTAGAATAACATTCCCTGCATTCCTTGGCTTATGGCCCCTTCTTTCATCCTCAAAGCTAGTAGTGTGGCATCTTCAAGTCTCTCTCTGCTTCAGTCACCTCGCATCTCTTCTGTAGTCAAACCTCCCTCTGCCTCCCTCTCATAAGGACATTTGTGTCCTTACGAAACCTCCCTCTCATAATCACATCATCTCAAGAACCTTAACTTATTATCACATCTGCAAAATCCCCTTGGCCATATACAGTTAACTGTCACAATTTCCAGAGATTAAGACCTATGTATCTTTGAGGGTCTTATTTGGCCCAGAACAACTCTCTTTTCCTCGTGGATTAATTCCTTTTCTGATTTTGTGTAGGGATGCAGCCCACCCTGTATTCCTTGAAGGAGGCTCTTCTTGGCAGACCCACCTGGATACGGACAGGCTATGAAATATGTTATTACGAGTAAGTTAGAGTGCTGTTAGCTTCCATTTCTCTGTCCTGGAATTTTCTCTCAGTTTCCCATTTTTCCATATGGATCTTATAAACATCAGCAATCTGTGCTTGTCCACTAAACTTTATGTCACTCTGTCCTAATGTCCAATGCCCTGCCCTTCAGAAGTATAAACATATTCACTGGCACCCACTGTAGACCTCAAGAAATACCTTTGGATTTGCTGAAACGTAGTTTATCTCCATTTAACCACATTAAACTCTTAGATCTTGCTGTTAGATATTAGCAGTCAGAGAGCGTCTACCTGTGATTAGTGTGTCAAGCCTTACCTGTGTCCGCTGAACCCAGAGAGGGAAATGTATGAGGCGTTCTATTTTGGTCCTATCTACCCCGTGCTTTAGTTTTCCAAAGTACAAGAGGGTGACAAATACATGCAAGTCACTCCTCCGCACAGCAAGGTGATTTTGTGAAAAAAAATTAAAAAGGGGGGAGTTTCAAAATTCATCTTCAATCCTTGATCAGTTGCCAGTATAATCAAATTATCCTGCAAAGTTATAATGAATTTGAAACTGTCCATAGATTCTGATGAAAGAAATGCATTCTAGATGTCTAGATTGCTTCTGTGTACATTTTCTTCAGATGAAAAATACAATTCAAATTTATAAGAAAATAAGGATAGGAATTACTATGAGAGGTAGACGGTATATAATTAATTAGTTCAGTTCTAGTTTCTTATAAAAACTGGGAGACTAGTGCTTGCTTTTTTAAATAAAGTAAGTTTCATCTCTTTCTGAAGTTATTAAAGGTCTCTAAGAAAAAAGTATGATCAGACTTTTTAGAGTTTAGGGCGGTTGTCACTATTGAAAAGAAACAGAATATACCCTTATGCCTCTTGGCTTTTGAGGCTTTGAGGATAGGAGTATTGATAGATGGGAAAGGTCAAGAATCTTGTTGCTGTATCAGATAAAAAAGCAAAGATCGTCATGGAGATAATGACAGTCTGCAGGATACAGAGCCAGGCTGACTAGCAGTCTATAATAAAAGAGTTGAAGGTATTCAATCCCTGATCTATTAGGATATGAATCTGAAGGGTATTTTTTACATCCTTTGGAAAAATTGTAACATATTATGACTTTGTTGGTTTTCCATTCACCTAAATGGCAACTACTCTCCGGCTCACCTATCTCAAGACTCTCAGGACCTTTCTTACAATTCAGAGAGATTTAGATTAAAAATCACCTCAAGGTGATAGCCTGCAACTGCAAGAGAAAAATATGAAAACCTACATTGGGACCTTGGGGTGTCAAGAATGACTTTTAGTGTTGTCTGAAAATAGTTATTCTCAGGAAATGTGGAAGATCCAGCTTAAAGGTGGTTTGGACCTGAAAGTTAGTAAGAGATTGGATAAACGTAACATTTTACATTATTTCCTAATGAGATGCATAGATGTCTTACTGGAGGATGCTCCTCGTGGAACTATGGAATAAGAAGGCTCAGGGGACCATGTATTTCTCAAAAGAAGCAAGAAGCGTACTTTCAAAAGCTCAGCTTTGACCTAAGGAGAACCAATGCCGATAGCTTTTAGATCTATTAACAAGACAATGATTATGTGATTAAAGAGCAACAGAGGGGTAAGAAAAAAACCATGAATGTGTAATGTAATTCATTTTTCGTATTCCAGCCATGAATACAACAGAGATGAATGGATAGATTGCCACATTGTAATGTAGTTTGTTTTATAATTATGCTCCATGTTGTGTTAACATATTTCTAATAATGTGATGTAGCAACAGGATAGATCTGTGTCATCTCTATTCACCCACAAATTAGAACACACCTCTCAATGATAAAATGATGCCTTAGATTATACAATATCTCTCTCCCTGTTTACCTATCCTGATCTTTGAGTTGATTTGCTTTAGAAGAGTTCTTTGCTGCTCTCCTGCCTGTCTTATCTCTGGTGGTTAATTTGGGAGAACCTTACTTTCCTCTTTCCTTGTCTCCAATATATTTTGAGAAACGATGCTCTATTTCTATAATGCTGTTAAAGTCCCAGATTTGGTGCCATGTTTTAAGAGGATGCCAGGGTGCTCCTTGCGGGGAGAACTGTGAGCTGAGGTACGTGAGCATGAATATAGAAGGGTGAAAGGGAAAAGAACATTCCGAAGAAATAGGGTTTGCATTTGCATTTTCTTTCGGAAGTTGAAGTTGACAGCAATGACGAGCGGTTAGGGATGTGGACTGACTACTCTGTGCGGCCAGTCGTCATCAGATGGAAAGTCTCCAAACTGTTGATAATGTGTCACTAATCAAGAAATGTGTGTATGTGTTCTTACTAGTTTATGCATTAAAAAAAAGTGTATATGCATGACTATACTAATGTATTATATGTGTAAGAAAACATACAAAAAAGAGTTTTAAAATAAGAGAAAAAGATGAAACTAATAATTGTTTATGTCCACCTAATGGTTACATCTTTATGCCATTTATAGCTCAAGGCACACTAGAATTTTGCCATGGAGTTTACCATTAGGTGTAGTTATAAATCGTCTTTTTGGTAATTTTGAGAAATTTTGATGAACTTTCTAGATCTGATTACATTTATTTTAACAAAAATCAGAATTACCTTAAAAGACCTAAAATATTGGGGTAGGCAATGTCCATGCTGCCATTTTCTGGTCATTTTGATTGCAATTTAATGTTACCATCTATAGATGACTGCTAAGCAGATTTTCTTTTAAAAAGTAATTGTCTGTTTTGTGAGGTTTAGTTTAATTTAGAATATAGTCTGTAAATCAGAGTAAGCTTCTAGAAACTTAAATACCTTGCCAGAAGCTAAAAGAAAAAGAAAGGGAGCTAGCTGTTCCCACTTCTTCCTCTGGAGACCTCTCCCATGCAACAGTTGATACTTTGCTAACATATAAAAACCATAGATGCAGAATTTAATGTGTTGTTCATACTGCAGCCCTGCAGTACAGCAGTGATGAGTGGATAGATGGCTGCACCGTCATCTATTCTGTTTTATAATTACCCATCACATTAGGCTGACATAGAGACAGCCATGCCAATCCCTATATTAAACAGTAGACAACTTAATTTCTTTGTTACTATGTAGATAATAGTCATTTTAAGGTGAAATTCTGATATTTTCTGCCTGTGGCCAGTTGATCATTCTGCCCCAGCCCCGGAACACCTCCTATCCCTTCTATTCCACACCCTGCTTTTCCCCACCTTGAAGACCAGTAGGCTGGAAAATAAAAAATGCCCCTGGAGAAGGAGGAATAGTAACGGGCAGATTGATTTTTCCCTGCCTCTCGTAAAAGGAAGCCAGGACCCTTTTAGTTTCTCTTTTATTTAGTTCCCTGTGGTCTGCTTCTTCCTCTAATATACACAGCCTCACACCTTTTTGAATTCTCCCCCAGCTCTGGTCTAAAGTAATTTTGGTGCTGAAGGGCAGAGGGAGGGAAGCTGCATGCTTAGAGTGGCCATGTAATACACAACGGCTGATCTCTTCTGACATTTATCTCCGCTCGTGAGAGGAGATGGAACAGCTCACTCATGAAGATGAATGTCATACAAGAGCTCTGCCATCACGCATACTTCCGCGGGATCTCAGGAGGGAGATTTGGTGTCCTGTGGGATGTTAGAAACGCTGCAGACACAGGGAAGCCTGGCAACTTGACTGCTCTGCCTTATTAGATCCTGTTAAGGGGGATGATGCACCTTGTTAAACTGAGCCATTGTCATTATAAGATTATCTAATCCATTCTCCATCATGGCATTTGCTTATGTTCTGCACCCACTGGAAGAAAATGAATTTCCGGCATATTTTTAAGTACAAATGAAAATAGCCTGAGTTCATTACTATGCCTTTGTGTACTTTGTTTCTTGCTTCATTGAAGTCTTGATGATGATAAAAGTGTAGGTTCTTCCAAAGATAAATGGTTCAAAGAATGGAAAAGCAAACAAAAAGCCCTTTAGCTGTGAAGTTGCTGGAAGGGCCCAGCCCAGGTCATCTTTGACCCCAGATGACCAGTAGGATCCAGCTCATCTTCCAGAGCACACCTGATTCTCACCAGGCTGCTTCTCCACCTAGATGAACAGATTGGAGAGAGGAAGTTCTTGGACTCAAACTTTCACCACTTATTAATGGTGTGACCTTGGGCAAATTCGACCAACTTCTTTAACTTCAGATGCTTCATCTTAAAATGGGGTAATAATGGTTTCTATGTAATAGAAGTGTTTTGAAGATAAAATGATGAGATAAAACACATGTGAAGATTAGAACAGTGCTCGCTTCAGCACATATACTGAAAAATTGGAATGATACAGAGAAGATTAGCATGGCCCCTGTGCAAGGATGACACACAAATTCGTGAAGTGTTCCATTAAAAAAAAAAAAAAAACGATTAGAACAGTGTCTGGTACACAGTAGGTGTTCAATGAATGCTATCAATTATTTTTAATAATGAGTAAAAACATCTTAATTGTATCAAATACCAATGATTAAAAAAATCATAGTATATAGATCATTTTATTAGCTCTCATCTGAATTATTTTACATTTATTTTTCTGTTATTTTAGACTCAAAGTTCATAGGCAGCTATGATTTATGAAGATTAAAACTTTAGATTCTTACTTGCTACATTGAGCATAAGACATCTTGTCCTTTTTTATCCATTCCTAAGAAGCAGGTGATATATATTAAAAAAAAAATCTTAGTTTCTGAGCTAAGCCTGTAACTGGGGTTGAATCCTGTTTACTGTACTTGTGTGGAATTCCCATAGACACTTAACCTCTGTGAGCCTTAATTTCCATCTGTAGAATTTGTATAATAATTAATACTCACCTTGAAAGGATACCATTAGGATTGGAAATAAAACGCATTGGGCATCCTAATTATTACTCCTGGAGTCTTAGGTCCACTTACTATATAAATTTTAACTGCAGAGCTGCTATGTCAAGGCAATGTGGGAAGGATGAAGATAAATGAATAAGCAGGTCCCTGCCATAAAGTATTGGCCATGAGAATACGAGTGATAAGGGAACTATCAGGGCAGGCTTCCTAAAAGAGGAAACACTTGAGTTGAATTTTGAAGGATTAAGAAGACTTCTCTAAATAAGAAAGATGGAAAGGGCTTTCCATACAAAGCAAGAACATGGGAGCAGTTGAACATGGGAAGAATGAACATTGCTGTCTTGCAAACACTGCTTGATATGTCCACGTCGTAACTGGGAAATGAAAAGAACTCGTTGAGGGGATCTCACTTTATCATGGATGAATTGAACTGTACAAGCCAGGTGTTTCACTTTAGAGGTTTGTCAAACATTTGGCTTTGAAGAAGGTGATCTTGGGAAAGTTTAAAGGCCTCTGCAGAGGAAGGTGTGCTGGAAGTGGAGTCATCTCCTGGACAAGTCCTGCTGTAAGGTGGCTGCCAGGAGACTCCAGTGGGGATGCCTGACATTTGTTTTAGGTTCAGCCAGAGTTTAGACCCCAGACGAGGGTTCTAAGTGAATTTCCTTTAGCTGAAAGTCATTCTAAATAAGGTGACATTCAGGTTTTTTTTTTTTTTTTTTGAATTCCAGCTGTGTGCAACCATCCTGGAGGAGGCTGACTTGCTGGTGGGGAGCATTAGTCATACTCAGGAGAATTTAACATCACCATGTACAGGGGTAGCATGTTAGGTGAGAGAGAGAGAGAGAGAGAGAGAGAGAGAGAGAGAGAGTGTGTGTGTGTGTGTGTGTGTGTGTGTGTGTGTGTTGGGCATATGAGAAGGCAGATTTGGCATCGTCAAAACTACCATTTGAATTCCTTACACTTCCCTTAAATCTTGAGCCCATGGAAGCTCAAGGGCTAAGGATTAGCCCATTCTATTTCTCTTTCCATTTCGCTGCAGCTGTTCTTTCCTTGGAGTGCAGGTGTGGTCTGAATGAGGGTAAGAATATAGAGATAAATACATGGATCTTATTTTTTCTCTCTCTTTCTTGCTCTTTCCTGTGATTGAATGTGGTAAGGTTGAGTGTGCATAGGCCCAGTGTGCTTGCAATGTGACTTTAGTGTACTAAATAGTGCAGTGGGGAACCTAAAAATAAGCAAGGCCCATGCCGAATAAGACCAACCCTACCGGCCCTTAGGGATACCTAGTCTTGAGTCAAGCTACAGGCTCTGTCTCCACTGTTTGTAGGTGAGGAACTGGGGACAGTGAGGCAGGAGGTGCCTGTTTCCGTCAGCCTTTACATTCATGAATATGTGCATATGTGTGTGTGCAGTCACACATGTATGCTTATAAGTGAGGCACTCTTCCATGCTTTGATTGGTTCTTCCTGGCTCATTTGATTTCAATTTGCTGTTTCCTGTAAAGAGGAGTAATTGACTAGCATTTGTTGTTCAGCAAGGTGTAAACTGAGTGTATGTTTGCACAGAGCCTTTACAAGGGAAATCAGAAAGCAAATACGAGGTAGAGCATATGTAACTTGAATGCTTTCTGAGCTACCATCTGCTTCTTTACATATATTCTAATAACCAGAGTCATAGCTTTTGGAGAAACTTCAGAACTTTGGGGCAATCTGGCACAGTAGACCCAATTGAGCATTCAGATTCACATCACACCATGTGGGAAGACACCCTTTTGAAATTTCTATTTCTGTAGGCACAAAGGAAACTGATTCTATGAATACAATGCCAAAAACCTGGGTGTGACGGCCACTTGGGGCTTATGTTGTTACGGGGTACGCCCCTTTCCCTAGCGTGACCGAGGCTCCAGGTTGCCATGTTGACAGAAGCCGAGACAAGATAAAGGCAGCAGGCCATAATCAGTGCGTTACCAGCTTCCCTTAATCCCGATCCTTGTTGTATAGATATTGAAAAGCCACAAAAGCATGATAAATAAAATAGTAGATTTTCTCTCTCTTTCTTCCATGCTTGCTTTTTGCCTAGGCGGGGAGTGGGACGAAGGTAGCAAAAAGGCAGAAACCCGTGTTTACCATGTGATAACCCATGTTTTTTACATTTCTCAAGAACACACAAGAATAATCACCTACTAGGTTCTTCCCTTCCCCTTCCCTTTCCCCTAATAAAACCAAAAGCACCACGGACTTGCAACCCCGCGTGGTAAATGTTCAAAGGTGGAATTACATCTCTTGGTGTCCGGGTGTATTTTGCATTATAATGCAGCCTTGATGCTAACATTTCTCAGCAAAGCCTGCGCAGCTGTCTCAGCATCAACTGGCAGCGTGTGGGGAAAATATTGCTCAGAATGGACTTCTGGGTGCAATTTTCCTTGATACCGTTCTCCGAAGTATCAAAATTGGTTCTTCATCTTTGATAAAGGAAAATGTGCACTCTCAAGCCTTAAGAAGCTGAACCACATTTGAGGTGACAAATATATTTCTTTGGGAAGAAAGTATTGTACAGTAGAAAGAACAAAGCCTTTACAGCAAGAGAGATCTGGGTCTCAGTCTGGTATCTACCATTTAGCCTGGAGTCCTTTGGCAAATTAACTTTTTTAAGCTTTTGTTTCATCATCCTCCTGATGGGTTGCTGCAATAATACCATAAGATGACATATGTTAAACGTTGATTTGGAACTCAATATATCATATGATTGCTAATAAATCTACTTGGCAGGCGGAGGGGAAAGGGAGGAGGTATACCCTATGTGGTCTGGGCAGAGACAGGTACTGGGGGAACCCAGATTTGGGTAGTGAAGTTTTATGTCTGCAATGAAAACCCAGGAAAAACAGAACTGTTCACATTTTCCTTTATTTTCTAGCTGAAAATGACTATACCCCTCATTTTCAGACAGAGCAAGGAAAGGCCTGTAGCATATATAGCACAATGGAGAGACACACAGGCCAGGCTACACGTTGCTGAACTGACTCATGACCTGGCAGTAAGTTCACTTGTACATTTCCCTTTTCTCAATCTCGCCCACAGAAATGTTTCAGCTGAAGGCCGTTGTGCCAGTACAGTACACAGCACATGACATTTATAGCATCTAGGACCCTAAGTGAGCCCGCACTGACTCCCACCTCTCCTTGATTTTCTTCTCTTTTCCTCTCTCTTTAGAAACCACTATCGCCAGAGTAGAGCTGCTGCAGGCGGAGCGTCTGGAAAGTGCTACTATACCCTGTCCTTTGCTGTCAGCTTCCCACACAATGAGGATGTCTGCTACCTGGCCTACCACTATCCCTATACTTACACAGCCCTCATGGTAACTGCCTGCTTACAGCATCACTCCAGCAGGACTGCAGGGGCTCTCTGAGGTTTTCCTGAGAACATTTAGGAGACCCTGACATCCTAAGGGGGGGGGGGTGTAGAGGCATGTAGGAAAACTATAGCCTTCCTAAGGGAGCAAGGCTGTGTTGTCACTGACTTGGTGGCTTACTATGTGTCCCATCTTCTTCCCTGTACAGAGCACAGGGCTGAGCCTTGATCAGTGACCTTCTGAAGGCCCGAATGGTCTGCAAGTTGGGGCAGGACGTGGGGGCATTTCTTAAGAGATTATCTTTAAAAAGTCAAGTTTAAGTGTGAAGTAGGTTGGAGGTGTATGGGGAGTAAGACCATACAAGTAAGCTGAGATGCAAATCTGAGGAAAATTCAATCATTCAGAGGAATGGAGAAGGCAGGAAGGTAGAACGTGGGAAACTTACGAGTCTGTGTGCAAGCGGCCATGCCAGCATCTCCAGTGCTTCCGATGGAAGCAGCTGGAGGCTGCTAGAAGGATCCAGGGTGGAAGAGAAAAGTTTGAGAATGAAACACTAGATCCTTGCAACAGAGAACCAGAATATTTTTTATGAGGGAGTGCAGCAGAAGTCAGTGCAGGCTCACGGTTAGCATTCCTGTGGTCCATAAGGCCCTGCAAAAAGTTCACAAGACAATCGTGAACAAACGGACAGCTTAAACCATGCAGTTTTCCGTCATTTGAAAAAGCTGGCAATTTGTCCCTTACCACTAGCCATTTCATGGATATCCTGAGGATAAATGAGCTCTAGTGTCTTCTATAAAGCACTTTCATCTTCAGTGTTAATGTAAAATGTTATTAGCATATTTATAATCATATGTGTGTATAGGAGTATCTATATCACTTTGCCTGAAGGATGTGCATTTTCATTTTAAGGCTGTGATAAGGAGTTGGAAAAGATAATAACCAAGAACATCTTTTCCTTTAAAAGGAATGTGCAGGTATAAATGGAAATTTTTCTCACAGCGAAGGCATATCTTGAACCACTTGGCTCACTGCTTCGTGAACGTGCATCTGCCCTCTTCTCCATATGTTGTCTTGCCTAAAGAGATTTTTACCATTTTCCAGATTGCAAAAGAGACACAACTAGTATTATTTGTGTATCACACTCAGAGAGCTCAAGAAGTTAATCCAAGTAATGTGCATTGCAAGCTAGGCGGTAACAAGCCACATTTGTTATAAAACATGTTTTGTTGCCTTTAGGGACACAGAACAGGCAAGATTCATGATTCCCTTCAACAGCTGTTTTTACGGTCTTGCCTGTGAAACACTGCACATGTAAAGTCTACGGTGGGCTGGGCACAGTGGCTCACTCCTGTAATCTTAGCACTTTGGGAGGCCAATGTGAGAGGATTGCTCGAGCCCAGAGTTCAAGACCAGTATGGGCAGCATGGTGAAACCCCATCTCTACAAAAAATACAAAAATTAGCCAGGCCTGGTGGTATGTGCCTGTAGACCCACATAGTTAGAAGGCTGAGATGGAGGGTCACTTTAGCCCAGGAGGTTGAGGCTGAAGTGAGCCAGGATCGCACAACTGTATTCCCTCATGGGCAATAGAGTGATACCCTATCTAAAAAACAAAAAACAAAACAAAACAAAAAACAGAAAAGAAAAAAAAAGTCTACTAGGGAAAGGGATTCATTTTTCAATACGTGTTATGTGTCTGCCTTTCCTGTTGGGTAAGGGATCATGGATCTAGGACACTGTTCTTTTCACTTTTTAGAATATCTTGGACTCTGATAAAGTTCCTGGTCTCTGATAAGGTTGCTGGTGGGCGTTCGTATAAAGCATTAGAACTCAAAGGGGTTGTGGAAGTTGTCTAATTCACCCTTAACGTTTATAAATGCAAAAACTGAGGCCAGAAGTCCCACAGCTAGCTAGCAGCCCTGGAGGAACAGGACATCAGCCTTTGAGGTCTATTCCTGTGGACTTTCTACTTCACTGTAGAAAAGTGTAGAAGAAATTCAGAATTTCTGCTCTGGGGTCAGATCAGTGTCCTTGATGGCTATGGCACTCATAAGCTACTAAAACATGCAATCCTGTTTTGTGAGTACATGTAGTCATCATTGTGTGATGATACAGCCATCTCTAATGGTTGAATTCAAATCGCCAACCCACAGTTTATATCTTTAATTCTGAGTGCTGTGGCTGTGGTTCAGCTGAGGGATAGTGTCTCTTTCCAAACATGGTCTAGTTCTTACCCCAAGATGCTCTGATGGATTCTTGGTAGGTGCCTGCAGGCTGATTCAAATTGTGTAACCCTTTCAACCCAACCTTGACTTGAAGGCACCTGGTTGTTTACCTCATGCCTCTGGGCCTGGTTACCTTCTGGACACAGATTCAGATCAGAACACAGGGTCTAAAGTTTGCAATTGATAAATAACTCTAAGAGCCACCCAGTGTGGATGGAGGCAGGGGAGTCAATGAGGAGATGATTTTATCTTAAAAGGAAACAAAAACACACAAGAAAGAGGGCCCCCTCTCTCCACCAGCCACATACTTTCACTGAGAGGGAAAGAGAGGCTTGTTAATTAATGCTTATTGGCTTGTTACTGTTAATATTAATAACTATTACTGTTCCTATTAATTACAGTAAGCTATAACTGCTTATGACTTTTTATTGTTACCTGTGAGCCTATTGACTATGAATGTCTTCCACTAGGGAAGTTTGTGGAGAGTTAATGAGAAAGTGGGATAACTTATTTCTCCTAAATGAGCAAAACAGGGTTAGAAAGACAATTTGTTACTTGAAAGTGACAAATGTGTATTCTCAGTTTAAGGTTTTACATTTCCAATAACTCATGGTCTTTGTCCTCTCCAGGTTTAAGACAACAATTGACTCTGTGACTTCTCTTAAAAAAACTCTTCCTCCCATCATGGACAGAATGACTACATTCTGTAATGCACACTAGTCATTTTTATTTTTGGACATGTCCTGAGGAGAAACAGTTTTCTTCCAACAGATCAGTGATAAATTAAATGTGAATGATACCCCAAGGGCAGAATTAACTGTATGTTACTTGGGGGTTACGGTGAGGGGTAGAAAATATGTTTCCGTGGGGAATTCATAATTTGCAAGTCTCTTATAATATGGATTACATTTAATAATTACAGACATTTTTATAGTGAAAGACTTGTATGTTGGATGTTTTTCAATGTGAATACAATTTTGAAACTTTCAAGATTGTATTATTCTCTTATAATAAGGGAATTAGTATTTGGTTCTTTCAAATGGATATCTTCCAGATGCTTGCCAGCAAGTCTGTTGGTAATTGTTCATATTATAGCATTAACATACAGCTAAAAGAAAGAAATACACTATTGTAATTCTGAAGCATACAAAAGAGCTCTATTTTAATCAGCTGTATCATGTTATCAGTAATTGTAATGATTGTTAAAGTGTTAGCAATACTTGTTAAAGTGTTAGAATTAGGTTATAAATAGCCCCTAGGTAGCCAGTAGTATTGGTTGAAAATGGGACCCCAAGAGAGTTTCTGATGAGTATTTTAGGAGGTAAAAAAATTGGAATCTCACTGAGAACTTATAACTGCATGAATTGACAAGAGACCAAAAAAAAAAAAAAAAAAAGTGGTCATTAATAGAGTCCAGGTATTGGGAAAGTTTGAGGATCTTAAAGAATAAGAGCAGAATTTTTACCAGACACACATACCCACTGTGTAAGATGTGAATACTGTTATCCCCAGAGATGGTGGTGGGAGGGTGGGTAGGAGGGTAAGAGAGAGAGAGACAGAGAAAAGAAAAAAAGAAAGAAAGAAAAAAATGAATTAGAATGCCACATGCACAATATCTTATAAATGACTCAATAAATGAGTTTAAGAAGTGTCAAGTGGAAAATGTTGACTTACGTATATGTGGCAGATCAAAGATGGAATGAGCAGGTCATAAATCAACACCGTCATGTAATCAGTAGACAGAGATCCATCCTTGTATGGGCCAAACAAAACCAAGAACCTCAATAAAGGTTCTTGATGTTGAGGTGAACATGGAAAGCCATTCTGAGGAGCCAACATGTTCATGAATGGTCAAGTCTTTGACCACAAGGACATCTGAATTCCAGGATCTTGGGCATAATGAAAGAAAGCTTTGAGGTCAGACAGGCCTGGATTTTACTCTAGGTGTTGAGTTTCCTTGCTGTGCAGCCACGGGCAAGCTATTTAACTTCTCTTAGCCTTGGTTTTCTCGTCTGTAACATTGGAAACAAAAAAGCAGTGAATACATAGGCTATTTTGAAGATTAAATAATTGCTATATGGAAAATTTTAGCAGTGTCTGTGGTAAGCAATATTAGATGGTAACCATTGAAGTATTTATTATTTTTAAGATGATGTGTGATTATTTTCTCTGTTGGACTGATTGGAAGATGCCCATTCCATAATTTATACTAAAATTAACACTTTGTAAAAAAAAAAATCCAAATAAAAGACCCCTCCCCCCAAATTGCAAAGGCTAATGATGGTTTTCTTAGGGTATTTGATTATGAATTTTTTTTTTCTTACTCTCTTTTCCAAATCATCATACCATAGCTTTGTTTATTGTTTATGGAGAAGGAATATTAAAACCATCCTTTCTTTATAATTGGCAAATCTGTGAGCAGATATCTAGAGATTAATCTTTTTTCATATTTTTAAAGTTAAGTTCCTTTAACTTGGGGAGTGTAATATTGGCAGACTGGGACAGTTTGAGAAAGCTCATCAGAACATGCCTGCAGCATGTTCTTGTAGCTTTTATTTAGCTTAAGGGTGTTATTTGTTCTTCTCTGGTGATAAGAAGTCTTCGATTCTCTAATGAGTGTATTTAAGTGACAGCTGAGATCTAGGCACTAGACAAATAAAATAGGCCATCTCCTTAGGAATGAGCTTTCTTCTAAATTAAGGGAATAGACAGTATGGCAGTTTAGGGATGAACAATAGAAAATGAATGATTTTTGAGTGCATAGTGCTCCTCACTTTA